GGTAATCATTGAAAATACATAATAAAAGTATTTTCTTCCGTCGGAGATTTTTTAGCATTAGTTAAAAATGTAATTATTTTGTAAAATACCTTTAAAATTAGAGACATCAAACCTGTTTACCACCAGGCCGTTCCAAGTTACTCCGCCTATAGGGTAAAAAGGTCTAGATAAAAATTTTTTGAAAGATGGGAAAAAAGCACAGTTCTACAATGATGAAGTAGCTGACAGTTTTACTGAACGTAGTCAGATAATTGTTCGTTTGAAATGTATTATTTGTTTTGATATAATTGGTTTGATTTTTAAAATATAATTAATATTCGCCTCAAGTCAAATTGGACCTTTGTGCCTCGCCTTGCTCTACATATATACTTTTTATTAAATTTACTCTAATTCATCAAATGTTACTTGAAATTTTTCAAAAAGCAGGTCACAGAAGAAATACTTAATTCATTTTCTATCTCTCCTCGCAGAAATTTGGAAATTTTATATAAGGTCAGTAGTATTATTTACAATTATACACAAAATCCAGAATCCAAAAAGAATCTGAAAAACTTGAAACGTAATCTATAAGTCGAAAGACCAAATAAGACTTGTTTCTACTCGTTTTCTAAAGATTGTTCTATGTTTTCTATTGAAAGTGTATAAAACTTCCAGTTTGATTGTATTGACAAAATATAGACAAACTAATGGGGTTTATCATTTTTATAATACCTCATTGTATATAGCATTCAAGCAACACATCCTTAAACACTTAAAGTATTCATATTTTTTATTCTCTAGAAATTATGTAGAATATACCTTACTTAGCAAAACAACGTTTGCCGGGTCAGCTAGTATATATATATATACTATAATATAAACATTTTACGTTTTTTTGGAAGGATAATTTTAAATATATCCATAAATCACCAAGTAAAAAATTCTAATAACAGGATTAATGGACGGCCTCTTAACAACTTCAATACAACCTAATACTATGTTTACCAGTACAAAAAGCTTCTTTCAATATCGGACTCCATAGAAATCTGGTTTATAAAATTAGCAATTAATTTTATTCCTAGAACTTTACTTTACACCATTAGTTCATTAATTACTAACTCGGTCTAATATCCTCCGGTCCCAATTCCAAAAACAGCTTTCTATGTAAATTGAAAGTGTCCCAGGCGCAGTCGACTGGTCTGGGAGCCCAATACTCCTTATTTCGTTCAGAGTGTCTGATGACGATGGCTGGTGGTATCGTTTCCGGCATCGGAGGTCTATAATGATAATAAAAAAGTATTTTTAATACATATTAATAAAAGTTCGATTTTTGATTATCATTCGACCTACATGTAGTTCTTGTCGACGTAGGCCAATTGCTTAGCGACGTTCGCCTGAGTGTTTCTGGCCAGATGACCAGGAGTGATGACATCGCTGGATGAGTAGTGGCCGGGGATGTTCTTGAGACGTTGCAAACTGGAAAATATTCAATTTTGCTTGAATAAGTTATAAAAAAGCATAACATTGGGAGAAAAGTTGAATAAATGATCTTCTAGTCTAGTCCATTGCATTATCAATAATTTTTTTATATACATTTATTATATAATAAAATTTATTTTTTGTATATTACAAATTTTGTAATTTTCTGAAGAATAATGTCAATTCAATGTTTTTTAAATCAAAAAATGGATTCTTAAGATTTTTTGCAAATCACGTTTTTTCAGATTTTTCTTCCAATTTTACTGTAAGAATAATGTCAATTCATTGTTTTTAAACCAAAAAATTTCTCGCAAATCGCGTTTTTTTAGATTTTCCTTCGAAATTTACATTGACTGGCTTACGCCTTTTTTTCAGAAAATTTCATTATTTACAAAATCTTTAAAACTTTATTGTTTAAAATTGTTGAAACAAAATAAGAACAATAAGAATAAAATAAGTACAAAATCTTTAGTCAAACTTAACTTTTTAATTTAAAATAATAACTTTTTTAAACAAATTATAGTCATAATACTTTCGCAAAAATTAATTTTTTTGAATATTTTGGTAATGGTGGTATGCCACAGACATTTTAACACTAAAAAACAGCGAGCGTATAAATAAACCTTCGCAAAATTTTTTTTTTGCTGATTTTTAACTTCCCGAAGGAGAAGTTTATGTTTTCATCAAAAAATCCGATTCTCTAATTTTATGTTTTCTCGACGTTTCAAGCCATTCTGAATCCAATAAGACCAAATTTGGAAAAGGTATGTGTGTGAGTGTGAGTATGTGTGTGTGTGTATGTGAACAGTTTTTTTGCCGTAAATCGCCGTTTTCTCAAAAACGGCTGAACCGATTTCAAAAATTTAGAAGCCATTCGATGTATCTCGATGAGGACTATTGTTTGTCAGTTTTGTGCGACGATCGGCCAAGCAGTTTTTTTATAAATCGCAGAAAAGTGAACAATTTTTCGTCTACGTTTTAGCCCGCAATTCTGAATCGATTTTGAAAATTCAAAAACCGTTCGAAAAATATTGGTTGGTAATGATACTGATTAGTTTCGGGTAAAAATCCAACGGGCCGTTTCTTTGAAATTAACTGTTGAAATTTTTTCTTGCTGATTTTTATGTACCGTTTCTGGAAATAAATATCATGATCTTATAAAACATACTAAAATGTTACGGCCCTACGACAAATAGTTTAATGTTAAATATTTATCAAAGTTTGAGAAAATCAATGCACGTAGTGTCTGTGCAATATAATTAATATAATTACAGTTATTTTAAATGTGTTTGAGAAAATTCTTTTCAAAACCAAAATGTATAGATTTTATTGAAAGCGAAAACTTTATTTCCGAAATAAACAGTTGAAAATTTTATCTAAGTATCTAAATTTCAATTTCGATTGATTAAGTCAATTCTTACACATCTCTATTATATCTTAGCAATTCAGTGTTAGTTTATAATTACCCTTCTTCTGGTGTACACATCGCTGTATATTTTAATAATAGTAAAAAAGAAATATATAAACTGCAATATAAATATTTTCAATATAAAAATATGTCACATGTGTCAAAATATCAATTGTCCATAAACAGTATACAATATTATTTAATAATTGGAAGAAACCTTTAGTCCTGATCATATTCTAGTGAATTGGGTGAAAGCAAATAAGGAATGCTACCACATTATTATCTTTTCAGAGTAGATATATGAAAAGGAAACTACTCTGAAAAAGCTGATAAGATGCCATATGTGTAGTATGACTCTCTACGGATTAGGAACATGGATTGTAAAGTTAACAAAAAAAAATTTTGTTAACACTATCAATAAATAAACTGTCCGTTATAAAGTATATATCTGTATATAAATAATACACAGCTACACAAACTATTGTTGTGCTCGATTTCTTGTTTAGAATATCAATTCATTCTTCATTATTTATAACGACGACCAAACACAATCCAACCGTATAAAGTTGATATCATCGAGAGCGAATGACCAATCATTTTCACTCGACTCGAGCCTAACGCTCTTCCATTGCATTTTCACAGATTTACTCCCTAGTCGCGCCTAAACAAGTTTTACTTCAAAAACTTCGTTGAGTCCCATATAGAAAAAAATGTTTTCTGCACATATTACAAACGAAAAAGTAGAAGAACTGAATGGAATAGAATGAATAAGTATGTAGATTATGAAATAATTTAGCGAGAAATAAAAAATATACGTGATTGAAAGCACTGAAATAGGAAATGAAGACTTTGAAGCAGAAGTTTCAGAAGTAGTAAAAAGTGGCGTATGGCATCGTGCCTTAAGGCAAATTGCTGGAACTTCCCGTACCGTAACGAAATGTTCGAGTTTTGAAAAAAAAAATGATATGATTTTTTTTTCCCCAAAAGCAATTGTTTTGTCAACACAAGCAGTATTTTCGGATGCTTATTTCTCTCAAAAACTGCCATTTTTTGTACATTTTTTTCGGTATTTCCGAAACGACAGGGCCTGCTTTTGCCAAAAAGTAATCACCTCTTCTCCCAATTATTACTAATTGAATGTTTTTTAGATCATACAAACCGGATGCTCCGTTCTCTCAAAAACTCAAATTTTATTTCTGCACTCTTTGCTCCGTATCTCCGTAACGGCTGGACCTGCTTTGACAAATACTAATCAGAACATCTCCCTATCAATAGGAATCGAACCGTGTACCCAAAAACGTGTCGAAAAAATGAGGACACACAAAACACACACACATCCATTTTTGCCGAGGTATGCCAAAATGTTCAGAAACCTTTGAAACTTGAAGATATGCAACAGTTTTCATTTTCGATTTTTAGCCCATTGCTATCTATAACTTACCCTATGGGAAGTTAAAAGTACAAAAATTATTTGTGTGTATTAATAAATGTCCGCACAGATTTATTCATAAAGATTTTATTACAAAAATATATATTTACATTTAGTATTTAGAACTAAATAATCTAATTATGTATACGTTTTTGACTTGCTGGCTTTAAGTATAAATTTAAACTACATAAGTACTAAATATTACATTATTCATAATAATATCAGTTATTAATTCACTCAAGGCACAATTTAATATATGCCAGGTACTTATTGTTAAATGTAATAGTTTAATTTTCTGGTAATTTTCATGATCATTTATTTATTTTCACAATATTTTATATTTTCCATTTTGCATACTGCTAAAACTACAATACTAAAAATATTACCTTCGTATATAATATAATATTGCATATTGCACTGTGAATCGAAGTAATTTAGGATTTAAAAATGATAGTTTCTTCCTTCTAAACGTATACCTTAATATAACAGTCTAAAATTGCTTTAAATTAAATATATAATTCAAATAATTTAATACCAAATTTTTGAAGTAATTGATCTGTGCATTTATGAATCATTTTCGAGGACACGTTTTTTTTCGGAAAGGGTTTCATAACACATAGATGAAACTTTAGTAATTTTTGGAAATAATTCTTATCTATTTTTATATAAAATGCAAGGCTACCAGTTTGCAAGTAAGATTAAGGTTTAACCGTTTGAATTTGCATTCTTTGTCCAGATTAGACAAAAACCATTAATTGTCTCAAATTCAAAATTTTTGTCCCGGATTGTCCTGAGCCCTTTGTTCAAGCTTTTATCGGAAAAAACTCCAGCTTTGATTTCATACATCAACTCAAACTGTGATGAACTTTCAGAAACAATAACTTTAGAAGTTATCTCGGATTCAGGAATTTTATCCAGAGTTGTCTTGAATTTTTAAAAACGTTTTATGTTTTATTTTAAACATATTCCAACGCTTGAAAATTTTGAACCTAAAAAACTGCATAACAAATTCTGGTACTATCGATACAACTATCGACACAACATACTATTTTAATTACGAAGAGAATTGTGCAAAATTATATTCAATGATAATAAATAAAACTAGTACATGGTAATTCTGATTAAACAGAAACAATTACTGAATGGCAGCCGTTATAACCTTTCAATTAGTAAAATGCATATCTTCCTCGGGCAAATTTTTTCAGTTTGCAATTAGTGATATAAAATCTTCAACCTATATATTATAATTAAAATAAAACTTACATTTGTAGTTAATATCATCAAAATCACCTATATATAGTCTATTATAGCCTTTATCACTGGTTTTAATTAAAACTAATTTAAATTAAAACTATTTCTTAAACATAACCTCAAATGTAACCAAATACACTTTAGAATAATTTTTACAAAAAAAATCATTCCAGGTGTAGTTTAAATATAGTTTTAAGTAATTGTGCACTAAATCAATAGTAGATTGAGTTTTATATAAATCTTTTGCACATTTTTAATAAAATTTAACATTATTTTACCAAACTGACATTTTGCTTAAAACTCATCTGACAGCTGATTCGGTGGCGCCATCTATCCGGATATCGACGAAACATTTTTGGTACGCGCTAAATTTAAAAAAAGCTAAAAACAAAAAGTTTTTGATTGAAAACAACGACAATCTAATTTGTGAATTAAAAAAGTATTTCCTGAATATCCTAAAACGCATTGTCTCCTCAAATCTAACTGAAGACACTTTAGAATAATTTTTACAAAAAAAATCATTCCAAGTCTTGTTTGAACGTAGATTTTAAGTAATTGTGCACTAAATCAATACCAGATTGAGTTTTATATCGATCTAATCCTCATTTTTGATAAAGTTTAACATTTTTTCAAACTGACATTCTACTCATCTGACAGCTACTTCGCTGGCGCCTTCTATCCGGATATCGACGAAACATTTTTGGTACGCGCTAAATTTAAAAAAAGCTAAAAACGGAAAGTTCTTGATTAAAAACAACGACAGTCTAATTTGTGAATTAAAGTACTCCCTGAATATCCTGAAACGCATTGTGACCTCCAAAACGTAAATCATGAAAAATAATAATGCTTTTGGATACCAATGCATAGTTTTTACCAATTTTTTGCTGATTTTAGTATTGTCTTCTTTCAAATTGTTATTGTCGTTATTGTCCACGATGTTGGGTAAAGGAAATTTGTACTCTGATACACCAGATAAACGTCTCGTGAAGTACATGAACGTTGTAAAGTGGATGAAGGGGTTAAAGGTCCACATGCCTTCTAAAAGTGCTTTGGACATGTCCTCAAAATCTTTGTTGTACGTTGATAACAATGGTGCAAAATATTTTGCCAAAAGCACTTCACATAAGTCTTCAGTTTCTTCTAAAGAGTCACGACAAATATTAAACCTAAAAATAGATTCAAAATTAATAACAAAAATTTATTTGTGGTTTAATTTTTTTACCTGTCTTCCAGCCCCATCATATACCCAACGCATCTCCAAACGTGTACAAAAGCCTCTCGGTCCTTCTTATCATCGCATTGTATGCCCAGAAATTTTGGTCTTATCAAAATAAAGCCCATAAAACCGAATTGGGTCAATGCCAAGTCCTTTTGGGTCACAGACCCTAAACCTTTGGCACAGGCTGATTGACCAGCCTGGAAGTGACGTTTGCGCACTTGTATAAGCGATTTCCAGGATCTGGAAATAATAATTATGTATTTAATACATTTTTATTTAACTCCCGTAGGTTTAAAATTGTATAGAGACAGTTTTGCATATTTTTATGTTTCAAAGCTTTCTGAACATTTTGGGTATGCTTAGAAAAATGGGTGTGTGTATGTGTGAATACATTTTTTGTCAACGATTTCAAAAGCATAAACAAACCGATTTGAATAATTCAAAAAACATTCAATTTGTATTAACGGCATATTAAATATGTATATATTAATTGGGATGGTTCAAATTTCTTTACTCCCAAGGGCTCAAATGCTTTCAAATTAAAAAAAATTCTCCAAAAATTTTAGCTCTTTATATTAACATTTAGATAGTCATAGCCGCAATATCATTAAGTAAATTCTTGCGCCATCTGTAATAGGAGACTTGTTATTTTGATATCAATTTATTACCGATAATTTGCATCACCAATTAAATAAATATTTTGCAGCAAAATTAATTTTAATTTCCTGATGAATAAATATTTCGTTAAACAGCCCACATGGATTTAATTAGAGATTAGCTAATTTAAAATATTTTTAAGAGTCATAATATTTGAGTTCACAAATGCTATCACAGATGGCGCAACAATTTACTTACTGACGAAACTTTTAATTGAATTGCGGACTATCTAAATGTTAATATTAAGAGCTAAAATATTTAGGTAATTTTTTTTCATTAATTTGGAAGCATTTGAGCCCTTGGGAGTAAAGAAATTCGAAAATGTCCATATTAAGGACCACCCTAATATATATCACATTTTTTTTCATTTTCAAGTTGTATATGTACTCTTTTGACAGAAAAAATACATTAAAAATTTATAAATATGAATAATATACAAAATCCAAATATTACGTTTTTATTTCAGTACATAATTTTTCACGTTAATAATTTAAGATAGGTTAAAGATTTATTACTAATTTTATCCTTTTTAATTTATTATTGATTATTTTGTGTATAAACGGTACGGGCAGTTCTAGAAATTTACCTAAAGGCACGATGCCATAAACCACTAGTTCAAATATCAAATATAAGTGTATCGATACTAAATATAAAAATGTGTAGAAAATTGTAAAATAATAAATATATTAAAATTGAATATAAAAATTCACAAAGAATTTCACAAAAACAAATAATGTTTAGTAGTGATTTTAATATTATTTTTCAATTGTGTCTTAACTAAACGACAGTGACAAAATTTAAGGATAAAAAAAAACGATTTCTTACAAAAATTGAGAATATTTCGAAATTTTGTAAAAAAAATTAAATATTTTTAAAAAATTCCAATATCTCAAAAAACTTAAAAAACATCGATTTTTTTCAAAAATTCCAGAAATTCTCAAACTTTTAAAAATCATCAACATTTTGACAAAATTTGAAAATTATCAAAAAACATAAATTAAAAACTAGTGGGGTGGGTGGCATCGTGCCTTAAGGCAAATTGCTGGAACTTCCCGTACCGTAACAAAATGTTTGAGGAATATTGAATGCTTTCAAATAGATTATTATTAATGATTACAGTAACATAGTTTAATATTTATAAGAATTATATAAACTGAATTGCTAAGTTGAAATTATTTGTTTAAAGTATATTAGAACTTTAGTCAGAATTAAAAATAAAATCTGAATTATTTTCGATATACAAAAATTAAAAAAAAAAAAAAACTTTGAAACAAATTTTTGTTTTCCAAAATCAATTATTTTGATAAAACAAGCAGAAAGTTATTTGAATCATCTAAATCGGACTCTTAGTTCTCTCAAAAACTGCCATTTTTTGCACATTTAGCTCTGTATCTCTGAAACCGCTGGACCTGCCTTTGCCAAAAACTAATCACCTCTCCTTATCAATAGGAATCGAATGTTTTTTGAACCAATCAAATCGGTTGATTCGTGCGCCCGAAAACGTGGACGAAAAATTGTATCCATACATACATACACACACACCCACACACATCCATTTTTTCTGAGGTATGCCAAAACGTTCAGAAACCTTCAAAACGTCGAGAAATGTAAAAAATTTCAATTCCGATTTTCGGCCCATTACAATAACTTATCCTGCGGGAAGTTAAAAAATAAATAAATTTCTTGTAAACATACACATAAGTTGTTTGTAGAATACGCTTGTCGTCCAATTTATAAAGCACTTATAAATTTATAATAATCTATTTGAAATTATTCAAAACAATCATTGATTATTTTCATTTCTCGAACATTTCGTTACGGTACGGGAATCTCCAGCAATTTGCCTTAAGACACTATGCCACTTAAAACTAGTTCCAGTATTCATTTATCTCACTTACCTCGAATCCTTCGTCAATTTAATATCGTACCACAAAGTGGTATGAAGTAATGTTGCGATGTACCTCTTGTAGGCGGTAAACGGTACCGACGACCTCTGAGTGAACATGAGGATCCTCAGAATCGTCGGCACGGCCAGCACTGCTATCAGGCCGCATAGCTTTCCCACGAACATGCCGTACGAATTTTTGTAATAATATTTCTGACCCCTGGATAAAAGATAATGGAATTAGTGAAATTGATGGTGAATAATAATAAACTAATAATGGCTTTATCTTATATATAAAATTCTTCTGTAGGGTTGTATGATTTGATACTTCTCCTAAACGGTTATTCGGATTTTGATAAATCTTTCTAGAGTTTGTCAAAGGAAATTTTTAAGGTTTAATGAACCATAAAACTATAGTAATATTGTAGAAATAAATGGCAAAATTTCAAAAAACCATTTATCATTGTATGACATTGCGAACATTTGAACTGTCAACTGTGCTAGAAAAGTCAATTTACTTGAAATTTAAATTTAGCTGAAATTATGAGCCTAGATAATATTACAATATAATATACAAAAAAAATGCAATGTGTACATTATTATTGCCGAAAAGCAGCTGAGTAGTGCCAGAAATTAAAATAATATTAGATACAGTCAACATTATATGTTTGGCAGATGAAATTATTTAATTCACTTTAATAAATAACGCAGCAAGTCCAAAATTGCATTTACATTATTTTTTTAAACTTATGCATGTTGCATTTTGGTATACTTTAGTAAATTATTTAACAATACAACAAAATATTTCTTCTTATTAAAAAAATGTTTCAGAATATTGTTTCATGTGTCAAAAATTGTCATTTGTTTGGCATTACGGCATTGGATATGGAATATTTAGCAAGTTGATCTTGGATTGAAGAGTGCTCGTATGAACTAGATTTTACAAATTAATTCACCAAAGATTTGAACTTAAACAATAACGTTTATTAAATTATTATTATGTACTTTAGAAATTATTGCCAAAAAGCTACTAATTTATCGTACGAATTTAATGAAATTTCAGACTAAATTAGTGAAGCAATTATGTTGTGTGGTAAAATCAAGTGTGATATTGTTCTTTTACCGCAGACACTATATTATTTTTTTCTAATTTTTTTATACTGCTTATGCCAAGACCATAATAAATGAATCACAAAAGCATGGCATAAATAGGATATTAAAAAGTATAAGGATATTAAAAAATTTGGAACTTTTGAATTGTAGACGTGGGCACAGGACAACGTCTGTCGGGTCATCTAGTATATATATAAAAATTCTTTCACACAATGTACGTTCCCGTACTCCAATTTTTACGAAATTTTATATTCGTACTCAGTATGTCTGGGAATCGGAATCGGAATAATAATGAACAATGTGACCGTTAAGACGATTGCTGATTACACATCATTTGCCCTCCACTGTAAAATAGTATAGCTGTAAAAAGTCGCCAAATTTGTTTTCGCGATAATAGTGGTTGACATTTTTACCCACAAACCTTTAAGCACAACACTACCCTACTTTTCTCAATTTGGTCTCAAACGATTCAGAATGACTTGAAGCGTCGAGATATTTTTTAATCGGAAACTATCTTCTTTTATACGTAAGGGTTAGGACGAATATTTTGGTTTTTACTGTTTCATAGTGCGGCGTTAAAAATACACATAACTCTAGATTTTCACATTTTCATTACCAACCCCTAATTTTATAGCAATTTTAGTAATTCAATCAATTTTCATACTGCGTTTAGTCATTAAATATTTTTGACATAATTTTAGTTCAAAATTTTGAACTTGAAGAAAAAAGCTTTAATCTCCCTTTGAAGTACAATGTATTTTATTAAGGGTTATCCCCACCCTAATTATTTCTAATTTTGAGTTATTTTTTTTTATTTTATTATTTTTAAGGTTGTCCACCCCTGACATTTTTTCTAAATTTTGAGACCAATTTCTTTTATCTTAATTTTCTATAATTTGAAATTGAAAAATAATGGTGGCGCAATAATCAAATCTTGTTTTTATATGGACTGGACAATATTTTGTTCAGATTTATAGAAAATTTGGAAAATTCATGCGAGAATGGTTTATTACAAATAAAAAACATGTTTCCCATCTGATTTACACGTCTAAATTTATATTTACACCAATTATACATGATTTTGTAAATGTGGGCATAATTGAAGCTTTCTGTGAGCGACCAAGATTTGTTTCTTTAGTATTATCGAACTTGGGAAATGCATAGTATTTATAAGAGTCACGAAAAAAATTAACTTCAAATAATTAATTCGCACCAAAAACAAGATTAAAGCCTTTATAAAGTTATATGTTTGATCGCAATAAATTGTTTGATACAATTTTTTCTTTTCACTTAAAAAAACCCCTAATTTATTTTAAAATGTGGAATCAATTTTCGTTCAATTTTAATTTTCATAATGCGGATTTGAAAAAAGCATACAACTCTAAATTTTCACCTTCCTTCCACAAATCTCTATTTCATAATAGTCATTTTAGTAATCGAATAATTTTTCACCACGCTTTCAGTCAGTGAGTGTTTTTTACTGAATTTTAATTCATATTTCCTGACCTTATAATAAAGTATAAATTTTACTTAAAAAAAAACATATTCATCAAAGGCTGTTTGCGCCTCCAATTTTCCCATTAGTACAAATATTTCCCGATGCGCACAAACAGTACACAGTTCATAAATGATTTGCATAAAGAGCAATTTTTGTGAAAAATAGAGAGATTGAATATTAAAATCTGAAGATACAACGGTTTTTGATAAGGAATATTAGGTACAATAGAAATGTATGGCAAAGCTATAAAGTTTTCCTCTCTCTCAATTTTTGTCAATCTCAGTCAATTCGCTCGATATGCCACATAACAATATAATTTAAAAATGAATTATCGGATTTTGATTCCTAATTCAAAAATTAATGAATTAATGCAAATCGCGGTAATAACACTGCAAAATCTTGAAACATCAAATGTGCCAATTTAAATTAAATAGAATCAATTTCAGATTAGGTTGGCACTTGCTAAGACTATTAAGGGACATTTATATGTGGCGTGCTTTGCAGTGGGTAAACTATTCATATATTTTTTGTTAGCTGTTCCTTTCACTTATGCACCACTTTTGCAATCAATTAGGTATTTTCGCACTAAACATGTTATACCAGAAATATTTTTTATGGCCAAAGGGTCACCTAGTATATATACATACATTGTTTTATCATTTATAAATTCTCATCACGTTTCGAAATTTCAATGTTGTCGTTCAATTATCTCGAGTACGTGATCGAAATAAAACTAAATTGCAGATTGTTCCGCAAATCATCTAAAATGTTAAATCCGTCTTTTACATTTGATTTATTTATAAATGACGACGAATGACAGGAATAACAAATGACCATTTTTAATTGATAGAAAAGAAAACGAATTATGGTTTTTTATTTACTTCCCGAAGGAGAAGTTTATGGTTTCATCAAAAAATCCGATTCGCTAATTTTATGTTTTCTCGACGTTTCAAGCCATTCTGAATCGAATGAGACCAAATTTGGAAAAAGTATGTGTGTGTGTGTGTGAACAGCTTTATTACCTTAAATCGACGTTTTCACGAAAATGGCTCGATTTTAGAAATTTGAAAGCCATTCGATGTATCTCGATGAGGACTATTGTTTGTCAGTTTTGCGCGACGATCGGTCAAGACGTTTTCTTTTGAATCGCAAAAAAGTGAGAAATTTTTCGTCCACGTTTCAGCTTGCAATTCTGATTTTTTTGCTGATTTTTATGAAACTTTTTTTGACGAAAGATACCATGGTCTTGTAGATCATACTAAAATATTACGACACTACGACAACTCGTTTAGCTATAAAAATTCGTCAAAGTTTGAAAAAATATTATAGTCATAGTTTGTCTTAACATACTAAACCATTAAAGTCCAACAGAAACTGGTTCAATTATGAAAATTGTTGATTTTTGAAAATTGGCTTTTGGAAAATATTCCGAGTTAACGTGTTTGTTCGTTTTCAATCATGTGTAATAAATCCACTCGGAATACTTTTAATAACTCATAAATTAATTTATTTTTTATTGATTAAGTCGATTATTTACACGTATCATGTAACTTGCCTCAAGGCAAAACACCAAAACCAGCTAGTTTTAATAAATTATTTACCTGGCAAATTTTTCTTCGTCGAACCATGTTGGTAAATCGATATTTTGTTCATCAGGAGAAGTGGTGTCACTTGGTGCCAAAGCATCAGGACTTAGCAAAAGATTTAAATGATCTTCAGCTGTCCAAAGTTTTCTCTTGTCTAAAAAAACGAACAAAATTAAATGACAAACAAACAACGTACATATAATTTATATTTATTCTAAGTTCTCCTAAAAAGTTCATTTTGACCATCATATCTGCAACAAAGTTTTATCATTTTTAGATTAAATATTTTAAATCCAAATTTAAATGCTGATGACTTTCCCAATTAATTATTCATATCGTTCATTACAATTACAATGCATTATTTAAACAATCAAGTTTGTTTCATTTTTATGCATTATATGAATTAAATTAATTCACAAATCCAGTTTTTTATTAAAAGAAATCTTGAATCATCCAGTTTATCTGAAACAAGGTGAACAACACTTGATGGCGAGGGCAACGTCTTGACATATCTGTCAATTTCGACATTGATATTTATTTAAAATTGGGATAAATCATAAAAAACGGATAATAAATATAATCTTAACTACCTACTCGAGATTGTAAAAGGTCGGCTCGTGGTTAAATAAAATAAAATGTATTATTTTATTGTGATATCAAAATGCGTTTCCTGAAAGATGAAGATGAAGACTGACATTGTGGTTTTTGTTCAAAGTTTATGAATTTAATTCTTGTATTTTGTAATTTGTTGTATTTCTCCAGAAAAGAAGTTTGTTTTCTAGAAAATCCGTTTTCCTGATTTTATATTTTTTTGATGTTTCAAGTCGTTCTGAATCGTTTGACACCAAATTTGGAGATAGTATGGGTGTGAGGCGGTTTGGCCTTAAGTCGCCGTTTCATCAAAATTTTACAAATTCAATCGATGCAATTCCATGAGGAGAAAAGTTAATTATTACTATTGTAATTAGTTTTGTGAGACAATGGGTCAAGCTCTTTTTTATAATTATCAATGCACAAGGTTTTGACCAAGTTTTACAAATCTGAATATAATTTTTGAAAATAGTTCTTAAGATTTGTTTTTTGATAAAAGTTTTTGGTCATTAATTGTTTAATTTCTTTGAAGATTTTGATGAAACTTTGTATGCAGATAGAATTCTTGGTTCATCCTAAAATCTTATAGGCCTACAAAAAGTGGTTTAATCATAAATAATCACATAAACTTGGAATAAATGGCCGTATCAACATTTCTAACAACTTGCTTGATATTAAAAAAAATTAAGTCATTCTGAAACATATGAGACCAAAATTAGAACAAGGTTTTCAATACTGATTCAATTTTAAAAATTTAGAAATCCTACTTAACCAACTTGATATCGAATTAAAAATATCCATGATTCTTAAAATTAGATAAATATTATTCTATTATTCTATGCTATTTCCTAATATGTACACAAAAGAATACTTTTTTTAAAAAAATGGTAGAACTTATATTAATGTCGTAAAAATTGCAGCGATAATCTAACGAGTATAATAAAACAATTAAAAATCTTCGGCCTTCAAAGAAGCAATACTTTTAAAAACCATATAGAACTTTCTAAGAAGAGCATAAGTTTTTAAGAACAACTTATATCTAGAATTTCAATGACAATTTTACATTTTATATATGTTTTATAATATCGATTAAAAGCAATCTATAACATTTTAGACATATGCACTAACATTTAAAGTTAAATTGAGTTCTAATCTAAAGATCTACAAAAAGTGCTTGAATTATTCAAATTAATTAAAATTTAGAATAATAATGAGGGTAGAGTGGGACACAAAGGCCCAATTTGACTTAGAGCAATTAGATTGTAATAATCAAACCAATTAAATCAAAACAAATAAAATATATCAATCAAACATATGACTATGTTCAGTAATACTCCCATCAGCTATATCATCATTGTAGAAATGTGTTTTGCTGTCTTTCAAAAATTAGTTTCTTGGTCCTTTTTACCCCAAGGCAGGGAAAATTTATTTTTAACTTTAAAGGTTTTTTTTATAAAAAATAGCTACATTATTTAACCGATGCAAAATATAAATTTTATGCCTGCATTTTTCACAGAGATAACACTGTATATAACCTTGGTCAGAAAAGTTTACAAAGGAGTTGGAATAACTATTTATTTAATAATCGATCTAAATTTACTCAGTTTTTTTTATTTACTATTTTGTATTGTTTATACCTTTACAAGGGTAAAGGTTCAGTGGTCCTTTTTACCCCAGCCATTAATTTATATTAAGATCTTGTAAACTAAACAACAGTGCTCACAACTAAAAAACTAAATACGAAAGAAAATACTTTTGTTATGGATTTTCAAAAATTGCTGTTTTGCTCTCGATTTAAACGTCGTAAAAATCATCATGATGGGTGGTTATACATCTTTTTCACTCTACTTTCAAATATTGTCGTTAAAAATTCTTGACTTTACTTGTTACCTAAATTTTGGTTGTGAACATTTTTTATGCTTGTACCTTTTGTTTACAAGACATCGATTGAAAATTGTATTGTATATATATATGTATGTATATATATATATAATATAATAACTAGCTGTAAGTGGAATTCTGTCTTGAGGCAATTATGGCATCGTGCCTTAAGGCAAATTGCTGGAACTTCCCGTACCGTAACGAAATGTTCGAGGAATACTGAATGTTTTCAAATAGATTATTATAAATATTGTAACATTGTCTATTATTTATAAGAATTATATAAACTGAATTGCAGAGTTGAAATTATTTGGAAAGTATATTAGAACTATAGTCAGAATTAAAAATAAAATATGAAATATTTTCGATATACAAAAAACTAAAAAAAAAAAAAAAAAAAAAACAAAATTTTTTTTCAAAATCAATTATTTTGTTAAGACAAGCAGAAAGTTTTTTGAATCATTTAAATCGGACCCTTGTTTCCCTCAAAAACTGCCATTTTTTACATATTTAGCTCCGTATCTTCGAAATGGCTGGGCCTGCTTTTGCCAAAAACTAATAAACACTTCTCCCAATCATTACTAATCGAATGTTTTTTAGATCATTCAATTCGGATCTCCGTTCTCTCAAAAATTCGATTTCTATTTTCTGCACTCTTTGCTCCGTATCTCCGAAACGGCTGGACCTGCCTTTGCCAAAAAACTAATCAGGTATTTTCCCTATCAATAGGAATCGAATTTTTTTTGAACCATTCAAATCGGTTGATCCGTGCGCCCTAAATCGTGACTGGAAATTTGTATCCATACATACATACACACACACACACACACATCCATTTTTTCTGAGGTATGCCAAAACGTTCAGAAACCTTCAAAACTCGAGAAATGTAATTTTCAATTCCGATTTTCGGCCCATTACAATAACTTACCCTATGGGAAGTTAATAATCAATTTGAAATTATTCAAAATAACTATTGATTATTTCTCGAATATTTAATTTAACGGTATGGGAAGTTCCAGCAATTTGCCTTGAGGCGCGACGCCATGCACCCTACTAGTTTTTTTTAAATTTTGCTTTTGGTACGGGAAGTTCCAGCAATTTGCCTTAAGGCATCATGCACCACTAGTTGTTTATTGATACTGAATTTTAAGATCAGATCGTTTTTCTCTGATATATAAACAGAGGCGCGTTAAATGTTTTTAAACAAATATTATCGAGTAAGTGAATAAACATATTAATGCGTTTTTATATTTAGCCAACTAACTGAACTACTATTCTTGTCTTGGTTTCCACATTGTTGTCTTTTACTATTAGGCCAAGGCGATTTGTGGTCTATGGATATTCTAAATGTACGAATATGTAGGTATTATTATTATACACATATACGACGATGAAGCTAATTACAAAGATGGACAAGATGCGGGTGGAAATAGATTGATAAGACAGATGGATATATAAGACTAGTTGGTATTGTTATTTTGTCTTGAGGCAAGTTACATCAACTTCCCGATATGTGTAAATAATTGACTTAATCAATAATAAACAAATTAATTTATGAGTCATTAAAAGTATTCCGAGTGGATTTATTACACATAATTGAAAACGGACGAACACGTTAACTCGGAGTATTTTCTAAAAGAAAATTTTCAAAAATCAATAATTTTTATAATTGAACCACTTTCCGTAGGATTTTAATAGTTTAGTATGTTTATCAAGACCTAGTACTCTATCGTTATATCAAGTAAATATAATTTTAATATTAATAAACGTAAAAAAAACTACTCATTTTCTCAAACTTTGATGAATTTTTAAAATTAAACTGCTTGTCGTAAGACCGTAATACTTTCGAACAGTTTTTGAATTTTTATATCGGTTTGGTAGTTTGAGCTTAAATGTAGACGAAAAGTTTAATACTTTTTTCAAATTACAAAGAAACGGCTCGGCAGATCGTCTCACAAAACTGACAAACGATAGTCCTCATTGAGATACATCAAATCGCTTTTAATTTCTGAAATCAGGTCAGTCGTTTTTGAGAAAACGTCGATCAAAGGTCTAATTTTGACAAATGCCAAAAAAAACGATACTAATTTTTGCAAACTTTGACGAATTTTTACATCTAAACGAGTTGTCGTAGGGCCGTAATATTTTAGTATGATCTAGAAAACTATGGTATTTGCCGTTAAATAATAATAATAAAAATCGACAAAAACATTTTTTTAACACTTTATTACAAGAAAACGACCCAGCCGATCTCTACCAAAAACTAACCAGGTCGATTCCCAACCAATATCTTTCGAACGGTTGTTAAATTTTCAAAATCGATTCAGAATTGCGGGCTAAAACGCGGACAAAATTTTTTTCACTTTTCTGCGATTTATAAAGAAACGGATTATCCGATCGTCGGAGAAAACTGGCAAACAATACTCCTCGTCGAGATGCATCGAATGGTTTTTAAATTTTTGAAATTCGTCCAGCCGTTTTTGAGAAAACGTCGATTTACGGTAAAAAATCTGTTCACACACATACACACACGTACTTTTTCCAATTGTTGATCTCATTCGATTCAGAATGGCTTGAAACGTCGAGAAAACATAAAATTAGCGAGTCGGATTTTTTTTATAAAATATAAACATCTCCTTTGGGAAGTTAATTATTTATTTATTTATTTATTTATTTAAATAT